AAAGAAAGAGGGGGTTTTAGGGCTCCCAGACTTTAAAAGATATTACAAAGCGGTAATACTGGCAAGAACCATAGATTGGATATTTAATAATAAAAAAAGCTGGGTGAGAATAGAGAAAATTTGAACTCAGTGGAATAGACTTGGGAAAAATGATATGGGTGCCAACACAGTATAGGGGTTTAAAATGACAATGTAAATACATACACTTTGAATGTTTTAAAGATTTGGGATAACTTACACAGAAGTATGAAATGGACTTTTATTCTACACTGATTCCACTAAAAAATACAGAGTTTTTTTTTCCCCCCCCCAGGTAGAGAAGAAATAGGAGGGAAGTGGTTTAAAAAAGATAAGGTGCAATTAGGAGATATCTTGGTGGGAGACGAAATAGGAGCATTTGGCGAATTGAAAAAAAAAGGGAGAGATTTTCACTAAATTAGACGAATGGCGGTATTTTCCAATTGAGGTGTTTTGTCGGAAGTTTGCCAAGACCTTTAAGGACAAGAGACAATTGGAACTTGTTCGAAAAGACATTGGGAACACAAGGTAGATGGGAAACACGGGATTTGCTAGAGTTTATAAAATACTCACTGAACTAGACACAAAACACGAAACCAACATACTTAACAAAATGGGAAATGGATATGGGAGTTGTGATAGATGAGGAAAAGCAGAGGAGAATGTATAGATTAACTCACGAAAATGTCTCTATGAGAGAAGTAGAGATGAACTATAAGTGTTTTGACAAGATGGCACATTTCACCAATAGTAGAAAATAAGATGTGTGGGAGAGAGTACAACCGCTGTGTTGGAGGGGATGCGGAGAAATAGGCACAATATACCATATTTGGTGGGGATGCCCAAAAATCCAGATATTCTGGAAAACAATAATCCACTTAATAAGAAAATTGACAGGAATAGATATAAAATCTAGATCCAGAAGTATGTATCTTGCACATCACGGATATAACGGTAAATAAATATAAAAAATCAGGGATATGGTACTATATAAACGCTGCAAAAGCCCTGATACCCAAGTTCTGGAGGCAAATAGAGGCACCAAAGGAAGAGGACTGGATTGAAAGAGTCGAGCAGATTAAAAAAGATGGAAAGGTTGTGCCATACCCAAGAAGATAAGATGGAGGTTAATAAATATTTAAATTAAAAAAAAAAGTAGAAACATTTAAAAAAAAGATTAGATGCAAAGTGTTGCATCACAAAGAGCTTGGACTTACTGGTACTCAGACCGCCAGATTTGGAGATCGTTATAATGCAGCCTATTCTTTGCTGCTGGAGATGACAGCTGATGCTTGCTGTACACTGTATTGTTCCCCGCTCACTCTTCCAGCATACTATTACTTTTCTACTTATGCCTTTCTTTTAGGGGTGTCCTGTTCTCCTCTCCCTCTTTCCACCTAGGTGCTGCCTGAAACAACATCTTTGTACTGCTCACTTGAGCCAGCTTACAATAAGTACCTGCTACTGGACGTTTGAAAAATGATGCTGCTTCATGGCTGTTGTTCTATGTCTATGGCCCTAACCCCACCCTCTCTTATTCCACTCTTTTAATCATTGTCAGTGCCAGTCCCCTACCTGAGAAAAAAAAAACAAACAATTGTGTATTATCCAGGCGTAGATAGTTTAAAGGGAGCTGCCAGAATACAGAGGTGAGTTGGGAGTTGGTCCTAGTGGATGTAAATTAATATCGATGGAGTAATAAGATAGATAGTTATAAAGAGAGGACAAGGTGAGGTTGAGAACCATAAGAGAGCTGTACATGTCCACTGTAATCTTCTTCCCTCAATTTCTGCTTGTGGCTGCTCCTTCAGCAAAACAGAAACTGAATATATTTTTTTTTACTTATTTCAGTCAAATAAAAGTAGACTGTACTGCTCCTGAATGTAATTCCTCAGCCAATAAGCTGCCCAAGGACAGTGTGACTGAGATTGTCCCTTAAAACCTAACTCCAGGTTTTAGTGAGCTTTGATTAGTTTTACATTGTGCTGGTCCAAACAAAGGATTTCATTCACTAACTCATGCAGCAGCTGTGTGCTCTATATAAACTGTAAGTAGCTATTGTTACATATGGTTAACTCTGTTGAATTCCAGCAACGGGACAGGAACTTTCCCATCCCATTCCTGGAACACAATTTGGTCAGGCTGAGTGCTGCTCAGCCATTCACTTTATATTTCATCAATGAATACATGGCTATGTTTTTTTAAAAAATTGGATGTGTATTTTGTTGCCCTAATAAAGGAGGCCTCTAGAAATCCCAGACAGTTGATGATCTTTTTTACTAAATGCAAATCAAATAAAACTGTTTTGTTGAAATACTTCCAGACTGACATCCATATTCCTTGAAATTGTGCCTCAAGGCAGGCAGCTACTGATGATGTTTTGTTTAAAGCTGATCTCCATGTTTCCTGTCAGTTGAAATAGTTGGTTTGAGCTATTTCCTTCACTAAGTGCTGCACTGGCTCAAAGCACTGTATGTAATGCATGTAGCTTCGGCTACATACAGCACACAGTACTGGGTTCTGGCTGTGCGATAAAGACTTCCCGGCCCACACCTGAAACAAAATAGTCAGTCTGAACAACTCTCAGCCATTCACTGGGAGCTTTGTGTTCTGTGAATGAATACAAAGTTGTGGGAGGTGGGCTGATGTCACGCTCTCCGACGCCAATCAGAGGAAACTGTATTTATTCACAGAATATATAGCTGCCTACGAATGGCTGAGTGCCATTCAGACCAACTCTAATTTGTTTTAGCGGTGAGATGGGAAGGCTCTGTCTCACAGCCGGAACCAGCACTATATACTGTATGTAGCCAAAGCTACATGCAGTACATACAGTGTTTAGAGCCAGTGCAGCACGTGGTGAAGGAAAAAGTTTATTTGGACCAACTTGGTCCAAACAAACTATTTAACCGTTTCAATACAGTGCAATTTTACACCTTCCTGCCCAGGCCATTTTTCAGGTTTCAGCGCTCTCACACTTTGAATGACAATTGCGCGGTCATACAACACTGTACCCAAACTAAAATTTTATCATTTTCTTCACACAACTAGAGCTTTCTTTTGGTGGTATTTAATCACCGCTGGGGTTTTTATTTTTTGCTAAATTAACAAAAAAAGACCAAAAAGTTTGAAAAAAAAACACATTTTTCTTTGTTTCTGTTATAAAAGTTTACAAATAAATAATTGTTCTTCATAAATTTAGGCCGAGATGTATTCTGCTACATGTCTTTGGTGAAAATAACCCAAATTAGGATGTATTTTTTAGTTTGTAGGAAAGTTATAGAGTTTACAAACTATGGTATAGATCTGAAAATTGATCAATCCTGAAGTACTGACAGCCAATCCCATTTCTTGAGGTCCAAGAATGTCAGAATAGTACAGATATCCCCAAATGACCCCTTTTTGCAGAGTAGACAGTCTGACGTACTTCATAAGAGGCATGGCGAGTTTTTTGAAGTTGTATTTTTTTGTCATAATTTTTCGAAAATGAAAAAATTAAAAAAAATTATTTTCACTATTTTTTTTTTTTACATACTGTTACCAGTGCAGTACAGCGTCATCATATAACTGGCATGGCGGTGAACAGGGACACTGACTGGTGACAGTATGAAAAAAAAAAATATATTTTTTTTTAATTTTTTTTTATTATATTTAATTTTTTATTACATTTTTTTAATTTTTTTTTACATTTTTTGTTTTCATATTTTACTATGACCAAGTGGTGGGGAAGTGATCAGTATTTTTTTTTTTTTTTTTTACACAATTTGCTTATAGCAAAGAATTACTTTGCTATAAGCAAGCATTTACCTGAATGAAATCGATTCATTCACCTTTTTTTTTTTTTTTTTTTTTTTTTTTTTTGTGCTTAGCTGTGATTTGGTCACAGCTAATCACATGACATGTGCATGTGATTAGCTGTGACCATTCACAGCTAGGCACTAGTATACAATGGATGGCATCATGAATGAAGCCATCCATTGTATACAACTGTCATGTGACCTGCTGTGATTGGTCACAGCAGGTCACATGGTACCAGCAACGGGAGCCGGTACTCGGATCTGTCATCGGCCGTGTCCGAGGTGCACGGCCGGTGACAGATCGCACTGCTGCGCCGCTCTACATTAGCGCAAACTGCGCATGTGCGGGAGCACGCCAAATGGCGTGCACCCGGAGTGCAGAGGCACATTTGAAGCCACCAAACGGCCATTGGCCGGGCAGCTAATGGTTAAAGCGACAGGAAACATGAAAATCAACTTTAAGCTAACCAACAAGGCTCTGGGACCTCTTTGTTATGTATTGATCAATAGATATTTATAAATACATATACATTATGTTGCCAAATGTACGGGGACGTCTACCTTTACACACACATGAACTTTATTGTCATCCCAGTCTTAGTCCATAGGGTATATTATTGAGTTAGCCCACCCTTTGCAGTTATAACAACTTCAACTCCAATGGGAAGTCTGTCCACAAGGTTTAGGAGTGTGTCTATGAGAATGTTTGACTATTCTTCCAGAAGTGCATTTTTGTGAGGTCAGGCACTGATGTCGGATGTCGGATGAGTAGGCCTGGCTTGCAGTCTCCACTCTAATTCATCCCAAAGGTGTTTTATCAGGTTGAGGTCAGGACTGTGCAGGCCATTCAAGTTCCTCCACCCCAAACTGTTCCCACAAAGTTGTCCAAAATGTCTTGGTATGCCGATGCCTTAAGAGTTCCCTTCAGTAGAACTAAGGGGCCAAGCCCAACCTCTGAAAACAACCCCACATTATAATCCCTCCACCAAATATTACACTTGGTACAATGCAGTCAGGCAAGTACCGTTCTCCTGGCAACCGCCAAACTGAGACATCCATCAGATTGCCAGACAGAGAAGCGTGATTTGTCACTCCAGGGAACACATCTCCACTACTCTGGAGTCCAGTGGTGGCATTCTTTACACCAGTGCATCTGACTTTTGTAATACAGTTGGTGATGTAAGGCTTGAATGCAGCTGCTCGACCATGGAAACCCATTCCATAAAGCTCTCTGCGCACTGTTATTGTGCTAATTTGAAGAGAACACGAAGTTAGGAGGTCTTTAGCTATTGACTCTGCAGACAGTTGGCAACTTCTGCTCACTATGTGCTGCAGCATGTGCTGACCCCGCTCTGTTATTTTAATTGGCCTACCACTTTGTGGTTGAGTTGCTGTTCCGAGTTGCTTCCACTTTGTTATAATACCACTAACAGTTGATCGTGGAATATTTAGTAGCAAAGACATTTCAAGGATGGACTTATTGCTCAGGTGTTAAGCTATCACGATACCACACTTGAATTCACTGAGCTCCTGAGAGCGACCCATTCTTTTACAAATGTTTGTAGAAGCAGTCTGCAGGTCTAGGTGCTTGATTTTATACACCTGTGGCCATGCAGGTGATTGGAACACCTACATTCAATGATTTGGAAGAGTGTCTCAATACTTTTGGCAACATAGTGTATGCATACTAATAATAATAAAATTAATATCCTCCTAGCCTTCTGTACCTTTTATGATTAAAATATACTTGCCTTATTATGCAGAATGCCCCATAGGCTTTAATTGACTTCTGCTTTCTCTTCAATGTATTAGCTGGTAGGAATCTATTGCAGCGTATGGGGTTACCAGATGCATGTGCAAAGCTGAAGAGCTCATCATCTACACATTTTTATAGAAACCCAATCACTTAATTTTAGGATAACATGCTGCGGCTTCTATAGAAAGTGACGTTTTTTTTTAGTCAAAAATAGTATAGAGGGTTAGGTTTTTAAATTTTTCATGGCTTATTGCCAGTTCACATATATGCCGATTGGATGTGGTTTGAACCGCATCCAATCCGCTTGGCATGTGAAAAACATTGCTTCTGATGGTGCACGTTCACATATGTCTGGTGCACTGGCAGTGCGAAATTTTTAAAAGAGTCCTGTATGATTTCTGATCAGTGGTTCAGGTACGGATTATAGGCTATTGACTTCTATGGGAACTGTTTCTAAACCACACGTGTGAACAGGATAAGATCCTGAGCTAATCTTTTCCTGAACCTGACATAAACCTGACATGAACCAAATAACAACTTCTTTATCAATTAGCTGTGAAACCTGAGCTTCAGTCCACACCACATATGTGTGAATCAGCTCTAAAACATAAACGTGTCCCTTAAGTCAGTGGTTCGCAACCTGTTGGACCTCGAGACCCACATTTGTCCTTGGTCAAAAAGTAATGTCATTTCCAAAAAATGTGGTGTTCATGTTTTATAGCTCTAAATTTTTAAGGTGCTCTTCTTCCCAAGCATGCTGTATTTAGCTAAATGGCTGAATGGCATTTTGATTGGCTAGATATCTGCTCACATCTGAAGATTCCTATAGAGTTTGTGTTTGTTGCTTAAACTGATTAATATCTATGGGTACTTTAAATTAAACCTTAGGGCCTTGTCCAGACAAGTGACAGCTCTTGCTGCCCCTCTTAAAAGCGATTCAAAGTGGATAATGTAGAGGTTAGGTTGCTGCCAGGGGACCCCAGGCCATAGTTAAAAATTGGCTTTTGGGGAGGTGGATACCAGGTGCACTCCCTTTAACGGTTTTGTGTGTGTGGAGGCTCAGATTGGCATTTTAAAGAGCATTTGTGTAAACTGCAGTGAATTTGTGTTGTATCCAATAAAACCAAGGTTTCCTAAAGGTTTCTGTTTTGCCTTTGAGGGAGGCAGTCAGATCCCAGTTACAGTTAATGCAGTCTTTTGTGCACTGAGGAGATGGATCAGTAAATATCTTCTGTATCTAGATTGTGGGATTGGCTTGAAGTGGAGTAAGCAAGTAGCCGGGGTTGTTCCCAAGTTTACAGCAGTAATAAACCGAAAAGCACAAATGAATTGTTTTGCAGCCCACCAATTATTTGATGTGATGGCTGCCCTCAGTTTCTTTTTTTTAGGCTTTCTTTCTTCTATACAAAGAAAAAAAATAACTCCCCGCGCTCTTCCACAGTTTAATATGACTTTTGAAGCAACAGGTCAACATAAATACCTGGAATGCTTGGCCCTACTCAGATGGAGGAATCCATTGCATTAGTACAAAAAGAACAAATAGGGGGGCCCCAAGCCCTGCCAGCATAGCAGGGTGTTGTTGGAGTATACTTCTCTTGCCACTGTATGGCGCCTTGTGTTTTATATGCTATACCTTTGTGAGCACCCATTTGTCATTTTGTTTTTTGGTTTTCTAATAAATCATTGGTAATGCACTAGGTGCTTGCTCCACCCTTTTTGTTCTTTTTCTTTCTTCTATATTAATCTGGGGTTCCAGCCAGCAAGTCTTGTTTTTTTCAAAAGTTTAAGCTTTCCAGCAGAATGCACCAGCCTACAGAGACAAACTATTTAACACTGTCAGGAGTAATTAAAATGGTCAGCTTTTATTTATTTATGTAAAACCTTTATCCCAAAAGGAAAGAAAACTGCTGTAACTGATAAAGTGTGAGGTGGAGTTTGGCTTCAATTGGTTACTGTTTTTAAATCTGTTAATCCATTCAACACCCATCCCCCCAAACTAACAATGCTGCTTCCTGCTGTGCTTCCTGTGTTCATTGATCCAGAGTTACACTAATACAGGAGGTGTGTTACTGGCCAGATCACCTGGTGAAAACAGAGAGGAAAAAAACAAAGCACAGGTAACTGATTCAGCCACCACATGTAATGATTGGTAAGCTGCAATTTATTACAATTTGTGGTTTATTTTTTGCATTAAAGAAAATCTGTTGTCATAGTGTATTTATTTATCTTTTACAATTTTGTCCCTTATGGCACAATGGCACAAAAGTACATATTGCTAAGTGCTTTCCAACCTCAGTGCTTTCTAACCTCCTGCTAGGGCCAATATGACAACAGATTTGAAGGAGACTGTTGATTCATAAGTGCACCTTGTCTTGGCGGTGAGCTCCTATATTGTAAGCTCTAATGAGCAGGGCCCTCTGTTTCCTCTTGTACCAAACTGTATTGTAACTGAAATGTCTACCTTCATTTTGTAAAGCACTGCGCAAACTGCTGGCGCTATGTAAATCCTGTATAATAATAATTATACTTATTAAGACAAGCAGCTATATGAATTTGGAGTGCTCAGGCTCTACATTCCTCCTGCTGCTCTTTGGCTATGTAAAGGGTTCAAAGCAGAGACAAGCTGCACTTATGGATCAGCTGTCTCCTTGAAAGTTGTTGTTGGATTTGCCATGGCCAGGGTAGGGGGGAGGTCAGACTTCAAGGTGGATGGGGGAATTCTCCCTACTGCACTATTGTATTCTGACAGCAGGGATACTCCCCCCCCCGCTGTCAGAATACTCAGATCACTGCTGCAGCTTATTGCCTGAACAGTTGAACAGAAGTCAGTTGATTGACTTCTAGTCAACTGCAGTAGCCACACATGGATCAATGTGGCTGGCCATACATGGATCAAAATTCGTCAGGTTCAGTAGGGACTGGACGAATTTCGATTCATGCATGGCCAGCCACATGGGACAAAATATGTATATGAACTTTGTCTGTAACAAAGATTATAATGATAGATCTGCTTTGAAAGATATTCTCATAAATAATCTTTTTTACTCCCAATGTTTTCCTCTTACTTCAATACTAAAATTCCTAAATCTAAATCACATTTCTGAAACCTTTATGCTAAGCAGCTGAAAGGGGATACGCCTTACAATACACATCCTTGATTTTAAATAAATGGATAACTACAAGTACATCTTCTCTGCCATAATACAGATTTGTACAGTATTTAATAAAATAGCCTTTAATGCACAATTGTTCAATAGTTTATATACGGTATCTATCTATCTATCTATCTATCTATCTATCTATCTATCTATCTATCTATCTATCTATCTATCTATCTATCATATAATTTTATATATGAGCCTGTCTATATAAGTGTTACCCTCTCAATATATGGTATGTGTATATGCATAGATATGTATACCCAATGTATGCAATTTTATTTTTGGTTTTTGGATAACTGAAATGGCAAATAGTTATTTATATGTATGAATTCTCTGGCTCATTCTAGTGAGAAATGGGTCATTCTGGAACAGTGAGAAATGTGATTGCTGAATTTCAAGCAGCTATTGCCACTCAGTTGGAACTGCTAAAAATGAATAGGGGGTCAAACTGGCACTTGTTGTAATGTTTTATTCACTCTTGTCAGAGTTAAAGCAACTTGATGCATTGTGTCTCTCACTCTACTGTATATGAAGCAGTTTTGTTTTTTTTTTTAGGAAGAACTTCTAATCATTTGCTATAACTTGCTTATTCCTAAAACATAAAATAAATTATTTTGTTTTGTTTAAATAATGTGTTCCCTATTCCTCCAGGCCCCTTATGCTTTTTTATATATTTTCTGTGAGTGGAACTTGTGGAGGCTTATAAGGATATATTGGTGCTTACTTTCTTGCAGAGAAAAAGACTTGGCCTGAAAAAAGACTTTAAACCCATTTCCCCCTGCACTAGCACAAATTCAGTTTTGTTTGCCTCACACATGATTGGGTATTTAAAGTGAGCACAGGTTCTCCTTTATTATCATTCGCTTTTGAAAGTGAACAATTTCTTTATTCATTAAATGGGCACCATGTGTAAAAAGAATGGTGTCACAATATCTGTTATAAACCATCATAAATTGCTATTGTGAAACAAATGTAGTAACAACTGTAGTAAAAAAAAAACTGAAAGGAAGATAAACATGTTTAGCGGAAACATCATATTTAGTCATGTCAAGCCAGAGCATAAAACTAATATCTCTTAATTTTTCAGGACAGGATACAGGACTTGAATTCTTAGATCATGGGTCATATGCAGCAACCCACTGATTGGTTGAATACTGGCAAAAAACTTGCTAGGGCTGCTCCAAAAGTGTACCATATAAACCCAGCCACTCCGTGAGACACTAGTTTTTTGCTAGTGTCCTTGTGTGATGGACTTGTCCTCTGCAGAAATATTTTTTCTTTTTCTAATCATTCAACTTGCTCTGAAGCTTCTGTCAACATCTGACTTCCTACTGCCCTGTGCTATCAAGCAGTTATCAGATTGTTTGCCCTTGGTGTGTACTTTGGGAACCGTGCTCGAATGCCACTGTGTGGGGCTGGTCTGTAATGTTTATTTCAGCTACTAGATCTTTCATTAGTCACTCACCTTGACACGATCATTGTGTGTACTCAGGGGCATATCTGCCACGAGGAAAACAAGGCGTTTGCCTAGGACTGCATTTTCCAGGGGGTTGGCGGCGCCCCACCGGCAGAAGGGACAAGTGACCTGGGCTTGGCAGGGCGGGAGAGCTCGGCATTGCTCGGGTTGGAGGCAGGGTTTAGGCAGGGGGTGGGCTTAGCAGTGCTCACACAGGGGAGGAGGGCTCGGCAGTGCACGGGCAGGGAAGGTGGGCTCAGCAGTGCTCGGGTGGGGGTGGTGGGTTTGGCAGGGCTTGGCAGTGTTCGGGCACGCTTGACTGACCATCTCCTGTATCCTGTTCACATTCTCCTGTATTCTGTCCGCAGTTTCTCTCCTTCTCCTGTAGTAGTATGTCTGCAGTCTCTGACCTTCTCCTGTAGTAGTATGTCCGCAGTCTCTCACCATCTCCTGTAGCATGTCCTCAGTCTCTCACCGTCTCCTGCAGCATGTCCTCAGTCTCTCACCGTCTCCTGTAGTATGCCTGCAGTCTCCCACTGTCTCCTGTATCCTCTCCACAGTCTCTGACCATCTCCTGTAGTAGGTCTGCAGTTTTTGACCATCTCCTGTAATAGGTCCACCGTTTCTGACCATCTCCTAAGGTGGAGTCTAAAGAGGAAGGGTTTAGTTTACAAAATAAGAGTGGATCTTAACAAGGAAGGGGTGGGGCTAATTTAGATAGGGAGGGCGCCCAATTTTAGTCTTGCCTAGGGCAGCACAAAACCAAAATACACCACTCTGTGTAGTTAGCCCCAGGGTGCTATACAGGTCCAAGGCCATGATCCATTTATATGGCTCCCAGACATTTTAGAATTGATTTACTAAAAAGTGGAGAGTGCAAAATCTGGCGCAGCTCTGCACAGAAACCAATCAGCGTCCAGGTTTTATTGCCAAAGCTTAACTGAACAAGCTGACGTTAAAAGCTGATTAGCTACACAACTTCTCCAGATATTGCACTCTCCAGTTTTAGTTAATCAACAACTTTGTCTCTAATGTTTCTAGGAACAAGCAATATAAACCTGGCAGTTTTTCTCCTCCTGTCCAGATTTAGCCTCAGGAGGATGAGGTAAATGTGTCATGCCTGCTGGATGATGCCTTCTTGCCCTCCTTTTATGTTGGAAGCTCAGTTAGCACATTTCTGCATGCCTGTCATCTTCCACAAAGATACAGCCTCAGCAATGTGGTCAGCGTCTGGGTTATAGTGGCTATAATACTGTGAGTATGACTGGGGATCTCCTCACTTAGCAATCAGACTGAGAATCAGATGCACAAAATTTTTGATTAGAATGCGTTGTTCAGAAGGCCTATAGGAAATCACTGCTTAGGGTGATAGTTCTTCCTATGTCTCAGAACAATGACCTACTATGATTTATCTGCCACTATGTCTGAATTCCCCAGAAAACTCTCATCACTGCTAAAAATGTTGGTTTTCAGAGGCCAAAAATACTACACATCCTTTTTTTCCCTGGATCCTGTTCATGATTCAAAAGTGGAAGCCCCTTTCCTTGAGGATATTACGAAGGAAAGTTATGAGGACCATGATCTTGTAGCAGAGGGTGCAATAGATTATCTTTCCCCTGCATTATATGAAGCATATGCTTCATGTTCCATCTATGATACAGTGAAGAGAAGTCTCCAAAATAAAATACATATATAAAAATAAAAGACGGGTCTTCCCTATGTTATGCAAAACTAAAATATAAAGGTTTAACCTTACATACACTTTAAGCAGGATTGTGTAGATTTACCTTAATGTTTGCCGGTTGTTATAAATTGTATGTGATGTATTATAAGAAATTAATTACCAACATTAGTTTATAAAACAAAGTTAGGAGTTGCTTTGCTATTAAACACATTCACAAAATAAAATAAGCCCCGCCTGGGTGAATAAGGACATGATCTGAAATTCAGATAGTTGTTGTCCACTAACCTCTAGAGGTGTGGTGGTGGCTTGAGAAAGGTGTAGTAATGACTTATGATGCCTGCTTTTCACTGTTGGAGTATACAGTTTATGTTAACACTGCATGTTTGCTTTGAGTGTGTTTTTCAAACCAGACGTTTAAAACCTTGTGGATTTTTTTTTTTTTTTTTTTTTGCATATGATGAAAGCAACAGAATGTGACAGCAACATAGAATGCTACCTAGCTACAAAACTAATCCTAATTGCTGTTTCTCCATGCAGCTCCAGATAGATCTGCATTCTGAAGCGTGTCTGAAAACCATTTCAGGGTCAATTTAGCAAACCTGCTTGCTGGAAGCTGTACATACTACCAAGCTTGTATACTTTTTGTGTACTGATAGAAACAGCGGCTAGATGTGCATTCAATCAAGGTAACATAACCACTGGTGCCCAGAGCTCTCGGGTCTGACCTGATGAAGTTAAAAAAAATACTTTTGAATTACTTTGTACTGACTCCTCTATGGAGCAATTAGTTTATTTTTACATATACTGTCAGTTTAGGAAATAGAAGCTTTATGGGGAAAACAAATTTTTTTGGCAGCTGGCAACCAAACACGTTAGTGTCCTAACTGCAGATCAGCAGTTTTAGTGCATCAAACAAGCCCTGATCCGTGTTGTTGGACACCCCACTTACATTTGGAGGCTACAGTTTCTATATAGCGAAATCCACCGTACTGAACAAAGACTTTTTTTATTCATTTTAACAGCAGTACACACTTTTTTTATTCTATGTGAATAAAGGTTGTAACAGTATTTTTTAGATTGTTCGTCCTTATGCACCAGTAGAAGTCTGCAGTGTCCTTCCCTTCGGGGTTTGTTTGACGTATGTAATCAGTATGTTGTGCTGTCAAATATTGCTTCTCCAATAAATTGTATCAGTTGCTTTAGTGGCTTTAGGGAGTCTGCTAGGGCATTCAGGGCCTTCCCATTGTATTTTTATGTGCACATTAGATAGTGGCCTGACTATAGGCCAGCTGCCTTGGTGGTTTTAGGAAGTCTGCTAGGAAACTCATTGGTAAGACTTGTAATACATATTTGTATGGTGAACTTAACAGAAATGTACAACTTTGACAATTTCACAGTCAAGGTCCCAGTACTTTTGTCAGGGCTCCCGGGTATGACCAGAGGTGTGTGACTGACGCAGGGAAACGCAGACTTCAGATATGTTATAAACAATACAGTACATACAATGCAAGCGTCGTCAGGCAGGCCGGGTCAATATCAATCGGGCAGGTAGGTACAGGGGGAGCAAGCGGAGAATGGTCGGGTCACAAGCCAGGTTCAGCAGGTAGCGGGCAGCGTGGTACAGAGGGTCAGGCAGAGGAGAATGGTCAGACAAGCCAGGGATCAGGAGCAGGAGAATGGTCAGACAAAGCCAGGGATCAGAGCAGGGTCAGCAACGAATCAGACAGGAACAGGAACAGGGAGCAGGAACAGGATACATGGCCCAGGAGAAACACACACCAAGGCAGAGTCTGCAGGTCTGGCCATCCCTTAAATACACCAGTATAATCAGTTCCAGGTGTTTGACTGGCTGCAAGGTTGAGTCTCTGATTGCTGGGAGCACCCGCTGGCCAGCCCTGGTACTGCAGCTCATAAGGCAGGTGAGTCCCACCATTGCTGGCCAGTCCATTCCTGACAGTACCCCCCCCCCTCAAGGAGCGGCCTCAGGACGCTCCAAACAATCCTAGCTGGGCAAAATGTTCCACCGCCCGGGTCTGGTAACTGGCGGGATATCAAAGACTGGCACACCGGGCAGGACTCCGGGCAGCGGCACACCGGGCAGGACTCCGGGCAGGGGCACATCGGGCAGAGGCACACTGGGCAGAGGCACATCGGGCTGGAGGCTTCGGGCAGAGGCACATCGGGCTGGACTCCGGGCAGAGGCACATCGGGCTGGACTCCGGGCAGAGGCACATCGGGCTGGACTCCGGGCAGAGGCACATCGGGCTGGACTCCGGGCAGAGGCACATCGGGCTGGACTCCGGGCAGAGGCACATCGGGCTGGACTCCGGGCAGAGGCACATCGGATTACCAGGCGAAGCAGCAGGCAGCGGGCCACCAGGCGGAGCAGCAGGCACCGGGCCACCAGGCGGAGCGGCAGGCACCGGCCACCAGGCGGAGCGGCGGGCAGGGCCACCAGGCGGAGGCAGCATGGGCACCGGGCCCCCAGGCGGAGCGGCGGGCACCGGGCCCCCAGGCGGGGCGACGGGCATCGGGCCCCAGGCGGGGCGACGGGCATCGGGCCCCCCCCCAGGCGGGGCGACAGGTCTCAGGCCCCCAGGCGGAGTGACAGGTCTCAGGCTCCCAGGCGGAGCGACAGGTCTCAGGCCCCCAGGCGGAGCGGCGGGCGCCGGACCCCCAGGTGGAGCGGCGGGCGCCGGACCCCCAGGTGGGGCGACAGGTCTCGGGCCCCCAGGCGGAGCGGCGGGCACCGAGTCACCAGGCACGACAGTGGGCTCCGAGTCAACTGGCATGACCGCTGGCACTGGGTCAGACATTGGATCGTCTGGCTGAACAGCGGGCATCGGGTCACCAGGCATCAGGTCATTTGGCTCGACAGCGGGCACCGCGTCATCTGGCAAGGCAGTGGGCTCCGAGTCAACTGGTATGACCGCGCTCACTGGGTCAGACATTGGATCGTCTGGCTGGACAGCGGGCATCGGGTCACCAGGCATCAGGTCATTTGGCTCAACAGCGGGCACCGCGTCATCTGGCAAGACAGTGGGCACCAAGTCACCAGGCACGACAGTGGGCTCTGAGTCAATTGGCACGACAGCGGGCACCGGGTCATCAGGTACCGGATTGTCTGGCTCGACAGCGGGCATCGGGTCACCAGGTATGACAGCGGGCACTGGGTCACCAGGCATCAGGTCATTTGGCTTGCCAGCGGGCACCGCGTCATCTGGCAAGGCAGTGGGCACCGGGTCACCAGGCATTGGATCGTCTGGCTCGACAGCGGGCATCGGGTCACCAGGTATGACAGCGGGCACTGGGTCACCAGGCATCAGGTCATTTGGCTCGCCAGCGGGCACCGCGTCATCTGGCAAGGCAGTGGGCACCGAGTCACCAGGTACGACAGCGGGCTCTGAGTCAATTGGCACGACAGCGGGCACCGGATCAGGTACCGGATCATCTGGATCAACAGCGGGCATCGAGTCAACTGGCCTAATAGGATCATCAGGCTGGATCAGTTCATCATGCTGAGTGGAGGGAGGCATCAGGCTGAGTGGAGGCTGCATCAGGCTGAGTGGAGGCATCAGGCTGAGTAGAGGCATCAGGCTGAGTCAGGCTGAGAGAGGCATCAGGCTGAAGAGAGGCATCAGGCTGGACTGGGTACAGGCATCAGGCTGAAGTGCAGGTGGGTACGAGGCAGGCTGAAGTGCGGGTGCCGAGGCACCAGGCTGAACCACGGAAGGCAGGTTCTCAGACGGCAGGCTCACCGGTTTGGATACTGGCAGGATGGTACTGGTTGGAAAGAATTTTCGCTTTTTTCTGGTTTTAACTACTGGAGCACTGCAAGTAAACGCAGGTCTGCAAACGAATGGAGCAGCTGGAGACAGAGAAGAGCTGGAGGATGGAACAGAGGAGGGAACAGTTGCTACAGTGGACTTCTTTACAGGGTTAAAGGCAGGATAGGTGCAGTGAGTGGGAACAGGGTACTGACATGCGGTAGATAGCAGGGCAGGAGGAGCTGTTGGGAATGCAGGAATAGAGCTTTGAGGAAATAGATTAGAAGCAGAACTGGGTTTTTGTAGGCTGACTGAGGCTGGGTGCAACAAATCTGTCCATGTCTGCAGTATGGGTTGAACAAAGCTGAGCTTACACAAAGCCTGTCTGACCAAAGACTGCACTGCGTTTATACAATCTCTTAGTATCTGTGGTGAACATGCAGCATAATGCTCCAAGAAGCAATCCACATCATCCTCTAATAACCATACCAGGGACTCTACCTGGTCGGCACTAAATGGCGGCAAAAATTCATCCCTGCATTCGGGGGTACCAGATGAAACCAACTCCGCACAAATCTGAATCAATGGCTGCACCTCAGAGAATTCTGTGCCCTGATCTACTAGAACATGAGCGAGCCGTATACATTCTAGCAGTTCATCCCGGGGATACTCCTTCAGAGTTTGATAAGCATACTCTCTGTCATCAAACACTAGCAGATATAAATACACAACCTCATCAAGATCCATCCTTCCCATCAACAAACCAAGATGGCTTCCCTGTGCAGCCACTTCTGGTCAGGATTGGCCTTGGTGTAATGTCAGGGCTCCCGGGTATGACCAGAGGTGTGTGACTGACGCAGGGAAACGCAGACTTCAGATATGTTATAAACAATATAATTTATTAACACTAACAATACAAACATAAACGCAGTGCAATACTAAAACATAACACAGTGCAAACAAACCAAACCAACCACAGATGACAGTACATACAATGCAAGCGTCGTCAGGCAGGCCGGGTTAATATCAATCGGGCAGGTAGGTACAGGGGGAGCAAGCGGAGAATGGTCGGGGTCACAAGCCAGGTTCAGCAGGTAGCGGGCAGCGTGGTACAGAGGGTCAGGCAGAGGAGAATGGTCAGACAAGCCAGGGATCAGGAGCAGGAGAATGGTCAGACAAAGCCAGGGATCAGAGCAGGGTCAGCAACGAATCAGACAGGAACAGGATACAGGGCCCAGGAGAAACACACACCAAGGCAGAGTTTGCAGGTCTGGCCATCTCTTAAATACACCAGTATAATCAGTTCCAGGTGTTTGACTGGCTGCAAGGTTGAGTCTCTGATTGCTGGGAGCACCCGCTGGCCAGCCCTGGTACTGCAGCTCATAAGGCAGGTGAGTCCCACCATTGCTGGCCAGTCCATTCCTGACAACTTTACATTTTCCTGACCATATTCCTTTGCATGAGGCCCTGTAAGGTTTTTAAAATGGGCAGATTTAAATTGACTCTACACAGGCAATGGCCTATGGCAGCAAAGCTTTAGGGGTCATTTACCTTTTTTTTAATTGCTGTAAAATTTACGTCTAAAGGGAAAGTCTTTTATAAAACCCATGCAGAATATACCATGATTAAATGGTTGTTATAGAACTGTACATGTACATAGATCTAAGATTGTAGTAGCAATCCCATTGAAATAAATGCATAGTGTGAGTATTTTATTGCATTTACTTTGTTTCATACATATTTAAACACAGTATCTTAGTACACTTGCTATGTGGTGAATGCCTAGTGATCACCTTGTTCTGACTTGCAAGTATACATTGTTTCAGCATAACAAAATGTGTTTTAGAGCTCAATGTTCCTTTTCTTTGCTATAGTCCACAGATTTGCTGTCAAACGTTTGACAGTTTAAGTGCTCAGGCTAGATTATCAGGAATAATACTTGCTAGGGACTTCTAGGTGCTGGGGATTTTTATTTTTATTTTGTGCAAATACTTGTTTTTTAGGTTAATAAAAACCCAACCTAACCCTTAAAAATATATAAAATATAATATATATATATATATATATATATATATATATAGTTTTTTTACTGTCTTTGTCCTTGTTTTGGAGATTTCCCACAAAACTCTCATTTTCAGCAGAGGTGTAAAGGAAATCGCTTCAAAGAAACTGTAAGGTAGAGCCTAAAGTGGAGCTTAGGCTGTGGGTGGAGGCGCCCTTGCCAACATAGTCAGACAGGCTGAGTTAGCAACAAATCTTGGCAGAAAGGCACAAAATCAGAATCCAGGAGAATGATCAAAAGTAGGTAGGGGTCACACGCAGTCTGGCAGAAGAATGCAGAGTTGTCAGGTGAAAGCGTAGTCAAGAAATCAGGCTGAAGTCCAAAATCCGGTAGTTCCATAGTTCACACAGGACAGTGCGCACCCAGGGAACATATCCACACAAACTGTTATAGAGCACAGGAAGTCCTGCTATTTATCCACTTGCCCACTAGGCACTTTTACCCCCTTCCTGCCCAGGCCAATTTTCAGCTTTCAGTGTTATCGCACTTTAAATGACAGTTGCGCGATCATGCAACACTGTACCCATAAGAATTTTTTATCATTTTTTCACACAAATATAGATTTCTTTTGGTGGTATTTAATCACCACTGTTTTTTTTTTTATTTTTTGCACTATGAACAATAAAAGAGAACATTTTGAAAAAAAGGTTTTCTTATTTCTATTATAACATTTTGCAAACTGGTAATTTTTCTCCTTCACTGATGTGCATTGATGAGGCAGCACTAATAGGCTGTACTGATGAGGCGGCACTAGTGGACATTGATGAGGAGGCACTGATGATGCGGCAATGATAGGCGGCAATGATGGACACTGATAGGCAACACTGATGGGCACTTTTTGGGCGGCACTGGTAATCAGTGCCTTGATTATCATTGTAGATGTCTTTCACAGTTACAGGTTATCAGCAGTACTTATCTCACACTGTGACAGTGTGAAGTAAGTACTGCCGATAACCGGCAAGTGTATTTACATAGTGGTCAAATGTGATTGGACACAGCTGAGCACGTGGTAAAAGGACACGGCGGTCAGAAGACAGCGCCGAGTGCAAGCCGCTAGGGGAGCTTTCTGGGAAGGCGTTATATGACGCCCTCCCAGAACTGGAGGACCATGCTGTTGCCTTCATTCAGCTATAGCACGGTAGTAAAGTAGTTAAGGGTTGAGCTGAATACAGATTGCCTGCAGCTGCAAGGCATGTGGGACTGTCCAGGGTCAGAAGCACTAAGGCTGGCCATACATTATACAATTATCTGGAGATTTTTGGTTTAGATTTACCAAAAACCATATAATAGGAGGACAAACCTAAACAACACTTTCAGTTGTATCCAATTAGGCAGGCCCTTATGGCCAGCCTAAGCAGAGTATATGCTGAAGAGATTTAGATTCTCCAGTGGCAGAATAAATAGAGTTGCAGCACTAGAAAACCACCTAGACACATGATAGAAACACAAACTATGACAGTCACCTTTTTTATTTGTAATAAAGGGTTAAACTTGCTTGTTAACAAGTTCCTATGTTTAAGCTTTCAGATATGTAGATGTAGTGCAATATTTCAAACCCCTCAAAAGTAGCATAATAATATTTAATATTGGTTTAAAGATGTATTACAGGTGATGAAGTAGAGCATCACTCAAGTCCAGGGGAACCTGTAATTTAATTTGAAATTCCTGGAAGCTACAGTCCTCTCTTCCCAGGAACTCTGCTTATTAAAAGTCCTGAGTGAGCTCAACTAGTTTTGCACCTATATATATATATATATATATATATATATATATTATATATATATATCCCTATCTTATTTCAGGGTCCTTGACTAGTTAGAAGCAGTTTTCATCAAACAATGAAAAACAGAAAGGAATGTGATGACACATATAGTAAGGTTAGAGGGTCACAGCTATTAGAAATAGTCATATAAATATACTGTGTACCTACGCAGAAGTAGTCACCTATAAATTACCATAACAAATAAGAACTATTAATAAGTTTCTTTCAGTAAGTAATAAAAATCTATGTTACATTACATTAGTAAAGTAGTCAAGGGCTAAACTCTCAGGTTTTTAACTGTTTCAGGGTATTGCAGAGTGACACTGGGACAAGAAATTTAGTTAATAGGGACTCGGTCAGATTTTAACCCTTCCTTGCTCTATCCTGTGATTTAAAAAAAAAAAAAGTAAAATGTATTATTTATCTTCCAATAAAAGTGTGGCTGTTGGTGTGCAGGACAAATCTGGTTGGAGCTGAACAAGGATAGACAAGTTATGCTGCAAAAATCTACTTTTTTTTAAATGTAGTAAAAGCAAAAGGTGTACATGGTGGGGAAAAAAATATAAAAACAGAATATATATATATATATATATATATATATCACTTAGTGGTTAATGCACATACTCTGTAGACAAGTCAGTGAGGTGTTAATGCATGTACCCTGTGGGCTGGACTTTGAGGGAGGATAATATAATGCTTTTAGTGTACTGATGGGTCCTTCTCACTACTGGCATGGACATGGAGAAGTAAGACGTGTGCTGGGGAGAAAGGTGTTTGAGAGGCCAATATGTGTGGTGAGGTGGGATTTAACTTGGTATTCTCTGCTCAGCTAAATTCAGTGCTTGGAGGCAGAATCCATCGGCAGTGAAACAAAAACTGCCGCCTCCTTTCAGTTGTTAGTGCTGGATATAGATCTTTGAATTTCCTTAGCTTTTTTCCCTCTCTTTGTAAATTTTG